CAAATTCTAACGTTAATAAACTCTAGAAAAAGCCATTTACTGTCTCAAAGCAATGGTTGTAAGTTCTTATCCCATTTGGGACCAAATTTCAACAAGTTTTTCGTCACTGTTCTAAACATTGTTCATGCATCTCTAAGACTTGTAATCAATCATATTCATTGTATTATAATATATTCTAACCCTAAACAAATCTAGACAAGCCATTTAATGCCTCATAGCAATGGTTGTGGGTTCTTATCCCATTTGGAACCAAATTTCAACAAGTCTTTCTTCACACATACAAACATTCTTCATGCATATCTAACACTTGTAATTAATCAAATTCAATGTATTATATCATATTATAACCCAAAACAACTTTAGACAAGCCATTTACTGCCTCAAAGCAATGGTTGTCAATTCTTATCCCATTTGGGACAAAATTTCAACAAGTCTTTCTTCACACTTCTAAACATTCTTCATCCATCTCTAGCACTTGTAATAAATTAAATTTATTGTATTATAACATATTCTTACCCTAATAAACTCTAAATAACCCATTTACTGCCTTAAAGCCATGGTTGTGGGTTCTTATCCCATTTGGAACCAAATTTCAACAAGTTTTTCGTCACACTTCTAAACATTTTTCATGCATCTCTAGGACTTGTAATCAATCAAATTAATTGTATTTTAACATATTTTAACCTTAAACAACTCTAAACAAGCCATTTACTGCGTTAAAACAATGGTTGTGCGCTCTTATCCCATTTGGGACCAAATTTCAACATATTTTTCTTCAGTGTTCTAAACATTTTTCATGCATCTCTAGCACTTGTAATCAATCATATTCATTGTATTATAGTATATTCTAATCCTAAACAAATCTAGACAAGCCATTTAATGCCTCAAAGCAATGGTGGTGAGTTCTTATCCTATTTGGGACCAAATTTTAACAAGTCTTTCTTCACACTTATAAACATTCTTCATTCATCTCTAGCACTTGTAATCAATTAAATTTATTGTTTTATAACATTAGGCTCCTCCCGAATTGGCTCTTGTGGCATCTGAGGCTGAGGAATACTTTGGTTCGCCGGTGTGAAATTGTAATGTGGAGGTCGAGGGCTGTTTCGCTTGATTGAGGTGGGGAGTTTAGAGCCTCCAGGTCTCTGTGAAACGTTGGGAGCTCTTCGTTTTTTTCCTTTTTTTCTTTGGTGTAGGCATACTAATTCGAAAAGAAAAAAGTAGATGAAGAAGAAGATCGAAGAAGAAGAGATTCCTAGGGTTTGATTCAAGCGGTTCGAAGGGTATGAATCGAAGAAGACAAGGGTTGAGAACGGAAATTGAAAGAAGCAGAAGAAGAAGATCGAAGGGTTTGAGAACAGAAATATATTGATTGAAAAGAAGAAGATCGTACTTGAGAGAAAAGGTGGTGGCTAGAGTTGATGATCGAAGAAGAAGAAGAAAACTTTGGCTTTGTCGATTGAGGAAAGGTTTATTGGGCTTTTTCTTATTGGGCCGGAAGTAGTCGCTAAAACGCTGTAAGATAGTCGCTAAATTGTTTATTGGACTTATTGGGCTTTTTCTTATTGGGTAGATTATAGTTGGTTTGCGTAGCCTATCTGTTGAATTTAGTCGTTATGTAGTCGCTATTCAATAGCTTTAGACAAAATCTGAATTTAGGTTGTTCGGTTTACCGGTTTAAATTATACCAAATCGGTTTATGCCAAATTTCGAGTTGTTTAACAATTTTATTTGGTTATTGGTTTATGCCAAATTTTAAATTTCCTATATATATTATTGCATTATAATACAAATTATATTATGCCAAATTTTAAATTTCATATATAATTGTAGCTACTCGGTCGGATTCATATTTTTCCTCGATCGGATTCACCCTTAAACCTACTAATTCCTAAAACTAAAATGAACAACCAAATCATCACACAAATGCAACCCTAAACTTTATACATAAGGATACCGCTGGGACTTCCTCCCAGGTAAGCTTGTTAAAAGTCACTAAGCTTGATTGTTCATGCTCTTGTAGGCCTTACGAGGTTCATAGAGAGGTTGTGAGATCCCCTCTGATCTTAGAAATTTCATTTATCCTCTTATTCTTGGGTCAATGCTAAAAGAACTACTCATCTCCCTTAGACTTATACCTTCCCTGGATTTCTTTGAAGAAAAACTACTGAATTGCTCATACCTTCCCTAGATTTCTTTTGTTAAAAACTACTGAATTGCTCTTCGAACTTACTGATTTTCCCACTCATCTCCTTCACTGTAGTTGTTAACTCCCTCATTGAAACCCTCTAGATGTTGTTAGTTTGGAGTTGTGATAAACCACCATATGTAGTATTATTTGACTCTAGCTTATGCGGAGGCTTGGTGAGCAAGTTTGGACACTTTGGGTGTACCGGAACTTGACTCGAGTGGGTAATCGATTGTGGTGGTCGAGCTCCCCTTAATCTACCCTCTGAAATCGATGCCTTAGTGTGCTGAATTGTTTTCATCAATTCTGAAGGTGTGTCCATCAATTGTTGGCTTCCTTATAGCATCTCTGATATCAAACTTATCTGGAAGTTAACACCCAAATTGAGGTCGATTATCCATCTTCTGACATCTATTACTTGTCCAGCAGTAGCTAAGAAGGGTCGTCCCATGATCAATGGATCTTTAGGCTCTTTGTCCATCTTCAAAACAATGAAGTCAGTTGGCACTTTGACTTCACCAATCTTTACTGGGATATCTTCTAACAAGCCATGTGGAACCCTTACTGTTCTATCCGCTAAGATGAGAGATAAATTACACGATGTGTACCTTGTGAAACCTAGCTTTCTAGCTACCGAGAGAGGCATGAGACTGACTGAAGCTCGGAGATCGTAGAGACACCTACTGAAAGATAGAGGACTGATATATCATGGATTTTACGGGTTTTGGGCCCTGATATAAGTCTTATTTATCGAGTTTTATAGTGTTTTCGAGTCTTTTTGAGTTATTTCAGGATTACGAGCTATTTGGCATGGATTGGAGCATTTGGGGCATTTGGAGAAGATGTGCCAAAAGAAGATACCGGGAGAGCATATTTGGCAACACTATTTGGCATGGATTGGAGCATTTGGCATGGATTGGAGCATTTCGGGCATTTGGAGAAGATGTGCCAAAAGTGTCGATCAACACTAATATCTGTCGGCAATTGAATTTCGCGTTAAATTGAAGTTTAGAAGATTTGCAGATTTGGCCCAGAAATTTTCCTTATTTGCAGAAGTTTTCCTTATTTGTAGAGAGCCAGGAGAGAAGAATATAAACCTCCTTCAGAGAAGGTTCAGAACTCCTTTACTTCTTCTACTGATTTCTTTAATGATATCAATTTTATTCATGGTGTTTGTTTCATTCACCATGTCTGAGTAGATTTCTTGTTAGGTTTAGGGTTTTCAAAGGAATTCATGAATTGTTAGGTTCTTAGATTGTTAGGATTGAATCAATAGAGTTCTTCATCTAGATTGTGGTTAATTTGTTCTGGGGTAGTGAAAGCAACCTAGAATCTAATCTTAGATTATTTAGTAGACACGAAAGTGTTATTGATTTCCTAAAAATAATCTAGATGAGCAAAATACCTATTCGCAAAGAGATTTTGTGAACTTATAAACCTGAATTAAATGCATGTCTGAAACTTATAAATTTGCAAAGAGATTTTGAATTTAGGGTTCTAGACATAGATAGTCTTTGCAATAAAAGTTGATTGATTATAATTTTGTGATTTGAGTTCAAGAACGGTGCTTTATAAAATCCTGAAAATATTTATTTGCAATTCTGAATTTTCTGAGAATATCCCTAGGCCTAGCGTTTCCTCATTATTGTTTTAAAACCAACCGTTAATTTAATTTGCCGTTTTTATTTAATTTAAAACCTGGCTGTTTAGCTTAATTTTAATACTGAATATTTATTGTCTAATCTTTGAGTCTATGTGGATTCGATCCCTAAGTATTACAGTGATCTCTTAATTGACAGAGTAACTCAGGGCAAATTTGAGTCGATCAAGGACCTAGTGAGCAAGGCATAGTGAATGAAACAGGGTCCTCTAACTTCTTTGGGATAAAATCCTTTGGGAATATGACATTACTCTCATGGTTTAGTGCTCTTATTCTCTCATCTTGCTTAGCTTTTCCTTAGCAGCCTTCTCTGATTCCTTTT